CCGCTGCTCCTCCTCCCTCCCAGGCTTGAGAGCCTGGGAGGGAGGGCGAGTAGCGGCGCGCGAGCAGCCCAGCAGCGGAGGCACATTTTTAGGGGCGGCATTCTGGCGCCGGCCATGCCGCCCCTAAAAATGCCGCCCCAAGCACCAGCTTGTTTTGCTGGTGCCTAGAGCCGGCCCTGTGAAGATCCCCTTTGGCAGGCAACATTTCCGCTTTACTGCCAGGGACAGTTCAAGCAGCCAAGCTAACTTAGAAGAAATTGCTTTAATTCCCTTTTCTTATGAACGTCACTATTCCAGGCTTCATGATCACCCTTCTGTGATGCTGACAGGCTAGGTGCCAGCTCATTCCAAGGTCCCTTTGTCTCCACTGAACACTGACAAATACATAGCTGGAACCAGTCTGGCTCACCTGTGTGTTAATATTGTTAAAATAGGCATTAGAATTATAAGGGTGTGCTTAGTGTTTAGACGTTATGGAATGCTTGTGAGTTGCTGCCTGCATTAATCTCACTTATAATATCGGTATCCATATTGTAAGGTAACATTTGAGCATTTCTATTGTAAGCCTCTGTAATTGTGTAAATCACCAGACCAGTGTGAAACGCTGGTCTCCAACAGAAGGTTTTATGTCCTGCCCATCAAGGAAGGCTCCCTGATACTAGATGGACTAGTGTGGAATGTTCGAGGACTAAAGACTTTGTTGTTTACTCTTTCCCCCCCAACACCTCCATTAAGATGAGTGATGTAAGAGATTTCCTCCCGTCAGCTGAGTCTGCAGCTCAAAGCAGAAGGGGGAAAGGGAATAAAAACTCCTAATAAGGAACCATATCTTTATGTGGCTTGGACCCTGGAGGGCGTAAGCAAAAGATCTCCAGTGCTTAGACAGGGTTAGACCTAAAGGACCTATAGAGCTTGCTTATTATTGAAGTTTCTATTACTTTTTCAATTTTAAGATTGGAGCTAACTTGTAGTTATCTATGTTTACCTGCTTTAACCTTGTAAATAACTGTCATTTCCTTTTCGTATATAATAAATCTTTAGATAGTTTATTATAGGATTGGCTACAAGTGTTATCTTTTGGTGTGAGATCTAAAGTGCAGTTGGCATGGGGTAAATTACTGGTTCTTTGGGACTGAAGTAACCAGAATATTGCTGTGATACTTGGTGTAAGGGACCATCTATCACAAAGGTAGGCTCACCTGGGTGGCAAGACGGGTTGGTGTACCCAAGGGGACTGTCTGTGACTCCATGTTAAGGCTGTTATAGTGCCTGAGGAGTTTATACTTGATAATTGGTTGGTGAAATCTAAGTATAGAGCTCAGGGCCATAGCAACAAAGAACATGGCCACCTCCGAACATATTTCCGGGCGGGGCCCCTTACAATGCAGAAACTGGAATGCGGTATTTATTTTGCCACTTTTAGGGGCCCCCTTCCTTGCGGGGCCCCCTCCGGTCGGAGGGTATGGAGGGTGCTCGCTACGCCTCTGATAGAGCTCACAACTATTTGGGATTCTTAACAGTCTGCCCTGCTGTTGGTGCTCATGCCTTGAGCCAGTGCAGGACAGCTTGACACATTCATTGTGATTATGCTTGACTTAAATGCAATTTTATTTTTCAGGAAACAGAATACTACCCTGCCATCCCCTTGCGAGTGGGACTGGGTGCACAGCTATACCTCAAGCCCGAAACACTTGACCGGAAATAGACAGAGTGTGTCGAAAAGCAGCATTCCTCACCAGGTACTAGTTAACAGATCCATAAGGTCAGTTAGGAAAAAGTCATCAGCCTGAAATCTGTAAAATGTTATAGCTAATGCTTTATGATATGTGACAAATTATCATTATTTCCTTCAGCTGTGGTTTTAAATGGATTTATCAGGCTGTACTCTTCAGGTGGTCATGCAGTGATCCGATGTAATTCTATTGGAATTCCCTTATAACTTAGGAGCAATATATACATGCATACTATAAAGTTTGGTAGTGCATAACATAGGCTCTTTGAAGTAGAGACCTTGTCTGCAAAACATCAAGTACGTTGGTGACAAGTAAATAATGATACACTGGGTTGGATTAGTTCATCTGTTAAATGCTATTTTAGGAGCAAAACATTAGCTAAGTACTTGTTTAGTTTCATTTGTGTTAATGTCTTCAACCAACATAAATATTTGTGTGTGTGTGTGTGTGGAGAAAATCAATTACTTTAAAGCACACAGGGCAAAATGATTGTGAATTACTCAGTTACTGAGTCTTGGATAGCATAGAATACACAGAGAGAGCAGTGCTGTGCCACATATATTTTCTCAGAGTACATCATTAAGGTAAATGTATCTTTTAGGCATCTTAGAAAATATTGCATTTGAAACCCTGTCTCAGGTGCTTTTGATGAGAACATCAAATATATGCTCAGCTGGGTTTCATGTGGAATAAACAGAAGGTAACTTTAAAGGAGCATAGGGGTCATCATATCCTACTACATGAGCATGATACAAATTAATTTTGGTCTTGAGACTCCTAAGATGTTGCTCAGGTTCTGTGGTGACAGGTGTCTGTTACTTGTGATAGACAGGCTGCAAGAACTTGTTGGATAGTGTATCTGACACACTAGCAGCTTTGATTAATCTAGTTTAATAATCTAGAAGCAAGAATAGATGGTGCTAAGTGAAAGTCTCTGCCTGAACACTACAAATAGGAAAATGGGGTTTGAGATCCCTTTCTAGCAGGACTTTTCTTACAAAAAACATATTTGCTTTGCCTACATTGGGGAAACTGACATGAGGATTACCACCAGTTCTAAGAATAGTTCAGCTGAACTGCTATTAGAACTGGTGGGACTTTTGTTTTGTCAGTGTGCCCAGCATGGACATGGCTATTGAGAACCTGGAAACTTGTGCTGCCTTCAAATCTTGAGTTTTACCTGAACAAGTAAAGGACTTTGATCCAGTTGTGTTGAGCTATCTCTGCCTCCTGCTCTCTGTTGTTTGCCAAAGAGGGTGAAGTTAGGAACAAAAACCTCTGTTCTCTTGGTCAATTAGCCATATGAATTTAGAACCTAAGTTTTGTTAAGATGGCTTATGGCGTCAAAGGAAGAAGCACACTGACAGTCAGGGCCAGTGCTACCATTTAGGCAAACTAGGCGGTTGCCTAGGGCGCCAAGATTTGGGGGTGCCAAAAAGCGGTGCCCCCAAATTTTTTTTTTTTTACAGCGTTCCTACGCCCCCTCCCCGAGCGGTCGCCGCTCCACTTCTCCCGCCTCCCAGGCTTGCAGCGCCAATCAGCTGTTTGGCTAGGGTGACCAGACAGCAAGTATGAAAAATCGGGATGGGGGTGGGGGGTAATAGGAGCCTATATAAGAAAAAGATCCAAAAATCAGGACTGTCCCTATAAAATCGGGACATCTGGTCACCCTATGTTTGGCACCGCAAGCCTGGGAGGGGAGGAGAATTAGAGCGGGGGTGGCGTGCTTGGGGAGGAGGCGGAGCAGAGGTGAACTGGGGTGGGGAGCTGCCGCACGGCTCCCCGGGCCAGAGGGGTGGGGAGCTACCGCGGGGGTGCCTCAGGGTGGGGGTGGGAGCTGCCGCAGGGCTCCCCACCCCAGCTCACCTCTGCTACGCCCCCTCCCCGAGCATGCCGTTGCTGCTCCACTTCTCCCACCTCCCAGGCTTGCGGCGCCAATCAGCTTTTTGGCACCGCAAGCCTGGG